ATCTATTTACCTTTTAAAACTGGAATGTTTTTACAATCATTACAGATAAACTCTACTGAACATTGTAAGATTTTCTTAAACACTTCAAGGAGGTGAGGAGTTTCTTATATCAAAATGATTGGACCTTGAGTTTGATATAATGTAAAGTAGTACCATAGTATTCTATGGAATTCACAAAGAAGAAAGAATTCTGAACAAAAAAACCTTTTATCACAATACTAATACCCAATATAATAGTTGACTTATATTTTAAATTGCAAAGCAAAATAATAGGTTTTGGAAAAAAAAACATTTAATTAGAATTCTCTATAATGTTTAAAAATGTCAGAAGTCTTAAAATCCGCACAATTATGTACAACTTAAACATAGTTATTGCTATATTACAATAATAAACAGCAGTCACCTTTTAAGGAGACTTATTTCTCCTAACTGATTGCACTTAACTATTGTTTGGTTGTGTCTTCAAACCAAATCTGCCCTGTAACATAGAAAGTATTGGTCAACATGATCCAGCCTAATGTAAAATTCATGTGCCTTCCACACAATAAGCTCTGCTTCTCTGGGATGTAAATTACCAATGTAATAACTGGACAAGCACTCAAGAATGCGGAGCTAATAATAATCACATTATGCCAGCTGTAATCCAAACATAATTAAAAGGGTATTAGGTTGGAATGAGCTGTACATTCACATACATTCAAATGCTGTTGCTAAAATTCAAATAAACTCCCATTTCAAAATCAGCAGTAAAATAGACATGTGTAAATCCAAACAGTCTCCATTTAGAAACTTGTCAAAAATGCTTTTAAATAAAGAAAACTAAAATCAATCTTAATATTATATGGAAAGAGGGTCAGAGAGACAGAAACTTAAAACATTAAAGATATTACTTTCTTTGGTTCATTTAATTCATAATTCATATTTCATGTTCATAATTGTTGGGCATTTAATTTTCCTCTTGGAATGTATTTCCTTGTGGCATGTGTTCTGTTATTTTAAGTTCAGAGAAGATATTAAATAAGGTAGAAATTTAGGTAATACAATGAATATTCAAAGAGAAATTGTAGATCCTATATTTTATAATCCTTAAGATTTAAGACAATTATTTTTAATTGGCTAATCTTCAGGACTGAATAAAGTCAACAAAATACAAAGAATGTTTCATTTCTAAGTACATATTTGAGTGGAGAAGAATCCAAAGTAGATCATGTTGATTGAAAATAAATTTAATGAGGCCCATTGTTTCTCCATTTTTTCTGAGGCATTAACGAATTCAGAAATTATCATGCTTTACTTGTGAGATATTTGTGTATAAGTAATGTACACTAAACTGCAATCCCTACGAAATTTAATAAGGCTTACCGTATTTTTGTGTTGTCTTAAAGGACCATTTTTCCCCAGCGTTCATTTTTAGATCTAGGCAAGGAACACAACTGAAGGATCACTTTTCTCAAAGAAAAATAAAATTATGAGATTTCCAACAGATACCTAAACTTAATTGATCTTCTTGCGTGGCATGGATCAGTTTTATAAAATTTAAATTTACGATATCCTTTACAAAAGCAGCCACTTTCACATGATCATGTGCAAAAGAGGTTATGGCAGCTTACATCTGGAATAAGTATTAGGTAGGAATTGCCTGAATTGTTCAAAATTAATTCAAATAATCAAAACACCTTTCAGTGTTTTCTCTATGTTTGTTCTCTAAATAAAAGCTTAAATAGAACATTGGTGGTAACAGGCAATCATATACTGTACATAAAGCAGAACATCTGCAGGTGGGTTAAGACAGTTACTAAAAGAAGGGCTAGGAAGACAGTTCAAAATTCCCTCTCTTCTTCTACTGCAGTCAAGTTACACAAAGATCCTGGTAGCAGAGAACAGCACACAAAAGTGTTAATCCTGATCTGCAGAAATGGCAATACAATGCAGAAAAGAGAAGGAGACTTCACCACACAGGACATGCAAGCTCAGATACATAGCCTTTTATAATAAATTATTAAATTAATCCCAAACTTTTTGAATAATAATCTCTATCTGTGTATCTGAGTCTCTCTCTCTCTCTCTCTCCTTCCCTCCCTCCCTCTCTCTCTTTCTCACACACACACACACACACACACACACACACACACACACGTACATGCACATATCAAAGTACCTAAAGAATATCATTTTCTTTTGGCATTTCAAAAAGCAAAATCACATAAATGTTACTCATCTTCCTTGCCAATAAAAATACAATACTATAATGAATAATTTCCTGTTTTGTATGGTATCCAAAATCAGCTGTTTGAAATAGCCATTTTGCTCCAATAGTACGGCTAGTCCTATCAATTATATGTACACCACATACAAGACTGTCAATATTTTATGTTCATTTAGAAAACTCAGTCTTAGTACAGCCTCCCTACGAAAGACATCTAGTTTATTGCTGAAATAAAAGTAATTAATTATGCATACAGTACATCTAATATGCCTAATATTTCAGAAAGATTGATTGTAGATTAACACAATAAATATGACTTTATGCTGAAAAATACTTCATTTCCTTGCAATGATAGGGTTTTTTTTTTTAACTAAGGAACATTATTGTGTTCATACATTAGTGAATTACATGGTGAAATAGCATACAACACTTATACAAAGAGCTACGTATGTCAACACTGTATTGTCTACAAAGCTTATTTTTTCTTATGATCAGGAACTACTTCCATAAAAAATATATAGCAATTTAATAGTCAATTATTATATATTAAGATCAATTTTAATAAGTGATATATTTAATATATATCACTTTTTCTTGATAATTGGTTAGCAATGAGGAGGAGACTTGGCAAAGTTGAAAGACACCATCTGAACTGAAGTTTACCGCACAACACTATGTTTATATTCTTCTCTCTGCAGCTATATCACTATAGACTGAAGGTGTATTTCAGTAGAACACATTTTTAAAGTCAAACATTCTATATTTTCTTTCCAAAAGGTTTGCATATGATATTGCTTTGATGTTTAGAGGGCCCAAGTATTTGAAAACCTATTTGCTGATTGTGAACAAAACTGTGCTAGGTAGATGCATCCAAAGCCTACCCTTTAAGACGCAATAGTTTTCAAGACTTGTCGATATAATTTTAATCAATAATCTTAGTAAGCAGGATTAAGAACATTTAGTCTTAGAAAACTAGAAATTCAAAAGCTTTAATTGGAGAGCAATAATATCCAAATTATTACAATACATAGAAAGGCATAATGTATTGATGAAAATATATTTCATTTGTTCTTGCTATTATATTTTCTTCTTCAATTTTGAACTGATATAAGCCTTGGATTAAGTGGGCATTATGTTGCAATTCAGAAAATCATGAGAGAGAGAATGTACATTTGTGTTTTACTTACTGTATTGCCATGTAAAATGAACACTTAAAAATAGAAGCCTGTAAAGAAAACTAACTTGCACCGGTTCAAACTGTTGCAATGGTACCACTCAACATGTAACACATACAATAGGAATAATCTACCTACAATAGGTAAAAAGTTAACATGTTTTGTTTTCTTTGCTTTCAGGACATGCAAACAGGACACACTAATACAGAATGTAAGATGTTTGCATGCATCTTCTGAATAATGTTGATCATGAAAGTAAAGGAATAAAATCTGACCCCTTTAACTTCTACTTGTTTTAAATGTTATCCAACTCTCTTATAAAGAAGATGAATAGTTAAAACTTAATAGTCTGGAAATGCAATTTAAATTTTTGCAAGAGCCTTGGTAGTACAGGGGTTTAAGGCACCCTGTTATTAAGCTTATTAAGACCAGCTGCCTGCAATTACTGCAGGGTTCGAATCTCGCCAAGGCTCAAGGTTGACTCAGCCTTCCATCCTTTCTAAGGTAGGTGAAATGAGGACCCAGTTTGTGGGGACAATAAGCTGACTTTGTATAAATATACAAAAGGATGAAGGCTATTGCTGAGCACATTGTAAGCCGCCCTGAGTCTTCGGAGAAGGGCGGCATATAAATCAATTTTAAAAAATAAAATAAAAAAAAAATCTGATTTATTTTTAAAACAAATTAATACATATAAGATCTTTTATGTAATTTAACATGTTTTTAAAATTTGCAGCATAATTCTAGGCATATTTATTCAAAAAATCCATCAGGTCCACTGGGATTATTCAATATGTGTCCATTGGATTTCAACCATAGAAATGCTAAGGGTTTGAAATGTTGCAGCTCAGAAGTATGTAGTGTTTAAAAATGAGATTTATTATTTTTCCAAAGTTATTCTCACTATGTTCAGTACTTATAAGTCTGTATAATACTTAGTCTAAACCTGCAAAATATTACTTGTTCATTCTTTTTCTCATCCCTAATATAAGTATGTTGTTTTTTGTAAACATCCAAATGCTACATTGATTAATATGTTGTATGCCTGTGACAACACCATCATAATCAACTGATTTCTACGAAGTGAGAGATGCATCTTTTGAGTAACCGTAAGGCCATATAACTCACAACGTGACATTTCCCTGATAAAATATAAGACATGACAGTGACAATTCTCATTGACAGACTATGGATAGTCTATCCCTCATGAATAATAGACACCACTAGTGAATTCTGCTGGAGCAGTGCACTATTAGTAGGTGGACAGCAATGCCAAAAGATACCCTTTTTAGTCCAACATTGTTTGCAAATGGAAGCAGGCTCACATGATTTCCAGGCCAAAGCCACAGGACATTAAAATGTTTTTTAATCCATCTGCCAGCCCAGCTCTTCATCAGGTGATAAAACTTTGTCTTTTGAAAAGCACTTTTGAAAAGTGATGGAATTTGAACAAAATGCGTAGCTGATTTTTAAGAAGGAGACGCAACTACAAGTTTGCACAGAGATTTCCTTCCTGGTACAAGCAGAATATGACATGCAAGAGAAGCTTGCTCTTTCCTCCATTTCGGGGAAGAGAAATTTTTTAAATAGTTTCTTAGAATATGAAAAGCCTATCTTACCTGCAATTGGGAGCAAAGCCTGAAGGATGGCATTGATAAGTATTCTTTTCAGCTTCATTTCCCCCCCAAAGTTGTAAGCCAGTTGGGGATGAAGAAGAAGGCTGAAGACCACAATTGAACAGATAGCAGGACAAGGAACAGACAAGAGAAAAGGCTTTGTTCTTCTGACTGCCTCCACAGGAAGTGCAAAGCCCATTGAGATCTTTCAGAAACCACCTGCAGGCAATAAGATTGAAATACACACTCTTTTGCTCTACCATCAGAAAATTCAATTAAAAATGGCTACAAACATGTATATCTGGAATGATCAGTGATTGTTAAACTTTGAACTCCAGCAAAAATGGTGTTTTACGCAATCTCCAAATTTCAGTGCAAAATATCTGCCTTAGCTTCATCCATGGTAGCTATCTGGCACTTTGATTCCAACCTATAGCCATAGCCAGACTCCAAGATTTCCTTTGCCACATTTTCTTCCTACATGATATCCTGGGGCACATCCCCCATGCCCTGGTTGAAAGTGTCAGTGTGGGCCTGTTCAGCCCCCACCCCCACAATCTTTGGACTCTTGTATGTTAGGAACAATCTTTTCAATTGTATGTGTACAAGCAGTATTAATACAGTTATCTAAAGTACTTTGTTGCTGGTGATTGTCTGGCTGCTCTTTCATTTTCACTTGTTGCCACCTGGATATTGGGGGCATTGGTAATTTACTTACAAAAATAGACTATATTAAATGTTATCATATAACCTTATTGTTAGCCTATTGGCTAACAAATTTAATCAACGCCATTGTGGACTCTAGCCATATGACTGCTAACTGGACGATGAGCATCACAGTAACACTCTTATAGAATAAAGATGATCCAGCAGATTGCCCAAAGTATTGACAAATTTTGCACACACAATGAAAATTTTTGAGTGGATCATCAACCAGCATTTACATCATAAAAATCAGTACCAATCAATGTGGCTTTAGTCAAAGCCTCTAGTACTCCTGACTCCATCTTTGCAATTCTCATGCTAATAGAGAAACACTAAGAAAAAGGGAAACCTTTATATTTGGCTTTCCTAGACCTTGAAAAGGCCTTTGACCATGTTCTGCATCAGCTAATTTGGTACATGCTACGTGACCATGGTATGCCTGAGTAACTCATTACATGGGTCCAGATGCTGCATGCAAATACCAGCTGTCACATGAGATGCACTGTTGGCCTTTCTGGCAGCTTTCCTGTGAAAGTTGATGTTCATCAAGGTTCAACATTGTTATGGATATTATCACAACTATGGAACAATTGCCTTTGTCAATTTGCCTTTCACCTCAACATCAAAAATACTGAATATTTAGAGACCAGCCTAAGGAGCACCACCACCATACAAGTCAGCAGTGAAGATCTAGTGAAGAGCAACTTCTTCCATTACCTAGGATCCCATCTACAAAGTGATGGCAGCATCAAGAGTGAACAAAGCATGGTTCCGGTGGAAGAAGATCACTAGCGTGCTCTATGATCAACATATACCAATCTGTCTAAAATCCAAGGTGTAGGAGACAACACTGCACCCAGCAGCTCTATATAATGCTGAGTGCTGGCCAGTCACAAATGCATTGAGCACATTATATGCCATGTGCATAGTTCGTTGGTCATTAGGTGACCATGTCATCAATGATACAGTTTGGAAGCAAAAGACCACCGTTCCATTATCAGAGAAAACGCAGGAGAAACGCCTACAGTGGTACAGCTATGTTCTATGAGCATCATCCCACTCCATTGCCCACATACCTTCTGCTTTAATATAGATGTGAAAGGCCAAAGCAAAGATGACAAGATACAATAAATGCAGACATGAAAAATGCCCACTTAGACATGGATGCTGTGTTTGATTACACAAGATGGCACTTGTTGATCCAAAAAGTGAACTTGGCATCTGCAGGAAGAACACTAATAAGTGTTCTTATAAGCCTATTGTTGCAACTGACTCCTAGCAAAAGGGAAGAGATCAGAAAATAGTTCATCATAAATTGATATGGACTGGAGTTCCTTTAAGAGTGGGAGTCCCAGGCAAGAGCCTGGTTAGTCTTTCCTAAAGCCACGATGACCAACCCCCATGCAGGATCCAGCTTTGGAAGGATTGAAGGCTAGAGAAGCTGAGCTCAGCCTTCTGATTTTCTCCCAAGTTGCATAAAGCCAAATGAACAATTCATTGAACAAGTGCAAAGAACACAAAATCTAGAGATAGTATCAACAGATATAAAAAAATTCAAGCCTATTGATACACTTAACCAGTAAACACCCTTTGAAATAAAACATAATAACCTGTGGAACAATTCCAGCTAAGATGTCGACCTAGAGCAGTGATGGCTAACCTTTTCTGGACCAAGTGCCCAAAGTGCATGCCCGAACCCCCAAAATGGAATGTGTGCTGTGCCCCCGCACATGCGACCCTCCCCTGCACATGCGTGTGTGGGCCCTGCGCACGCCCCCCCCCCCTCCCACATGCATGCACAGCCCCCCATGCACACGTGTGAGCTGCCTCCCCCACATGCACCCCACCCCTGTGCATGCGCAGAGAGCCCCTGTGCATGCACAGAGAGCCAAAGACCCTGTGCATGCGCAGAGAGCCAAAGACCAGCTGGCCAGTGGATGCACCCGTGCATGCGCAGCGGAGCTGAACTGGGGTGATGGCTCATGTGCCATCAGAGAGGGTGCTGCATGCCACTTCTGGCACACGTGCTATAGGTTCACCATCACGGACCTAGCACTTGGAGAGATGTGGATCAAGCTGCAAAAATTCTTCCTTCCCCTTTCTACAGAGAAGGTTCTAGGTGGTCTGCTTCCATCTTTTCTTTCCAGAGAGCAGATACCTAGGAGCAAGTTTTCTTTGTCTGATTCCATTCTCTCTTATCCTTTTAATTACTATGTGAGCTTCTCTCAGTGTATGGAATTTCATACTTTCACAATTCTAGCCATCAAGATCATATTACGGCAGGAGATTATGGATATTGATATTCAGGTTCAGAAGGGATCAAATTTGGAAAAGAGCTGATTATTTGCAGGACTGCAATACTACATGTATCTTTTATGCGGTTGTTAATTGTGGAACATGGTTGGGGGAAACGTACATGAAACTATGCAGTTGTATATGCTGATTTGATTTACTATAGTCATTTGAAATTGTCCTTAATCAGCACTTGGTAGAACAACATTAAGAGGTGACTAATACCAATAATTATGTTTCTGAAAATAAAAATACTTCTGAGATTTTCTATGAGTATAAAATATATTAATTTTGTATATGTGTTTGCCCATGTGCATAGATAAACACATGCATAAAGAAACTTCCAGCATCAGAGGAGCACATTTCAGTTTCCATCCACACTTCAATAATACAACAGATTGGAATTTAAATGCTTATTATCTATATTTTAAAATTTGGAAAAACATTTAATTTTGTGTGTATTAATATTAGTATTTTAAACTTCTGGTCTAGATAATAACTATAAACCTACAAAGAGATTATTATGATAGGTTGCACAGTCAATCAGATGTTTAGACTAAATTTGGCACTTTTTTCCACTATCAAGTCCTTCCCAAGGACCTGGATAGGCAGAAGTTGTTTGCTGGTGTTAAATATGTTGTTGGAGGACATAAGTGGTTCCATTTATTATTTATTTTATTAGTATTAGGCATCACCCAAACCAATTCTGGGTGATTCAGAATATATACCAGAAAATCAAGACAAAAACACAGTACAAAATACAGCAAAAACTAGCATCTGGCCACTTAAAAGAAAGACATCCAGTAAAGGGGCTCCATTCACCCTAACCTAAGACCTGGGTTTAGTCCATTTATTTCAAAGCATACTAGTTAAAGTCCTTACCATTGATTCTATGCTCTGTAGTTTGAAAAGGAAAAACTAATACAGAGAAAAGGAATATATTTTCTTTTCTCTTTAAGAAAGAATAAACAACATGCAAAACACATTGATCAAAGCATATATCCAAACAATATACAAGTCAAAAATTGTATAATTAAATAGATGCAGAATTTAGATGCGATAAGAGATAGGTAGCAATGGGAATATCAATGCAAGAAGATTATTAAATTTCTATCAAATATTATCTTTAGAGACAATTGATAAGTTTTTTCATTAGTATATTATCCCAGTTCTGATTGCTAAATTGGATAGCTTGTCTTCTAAAAACTGTTATAAAGGAAGTGATCAGATTGGCTCATTCTTTCTTAACATGTGATAATATTGTAAATCTCAAAAATTTTGAAAAATGATTCATACGTGAATAAAACTAATCTTAAAAGTTGAAATCACAATTCAATTTATGATATTTTTATTAAACTTTATGAAACCATGTATTACCACAAAATATACTGAGTTATGAGTTATGGAGTTCTACTTTGATATCTAGAATTGTGTCTCAAGGAATCTTGACATCTGACAGAGAATGTAAAATAATTTGGAAACCATTCCTAGATTAGAAATAAATACATGGATTTGTGTTGGTTATAAAATGTTCTCTCTGCATAAAGTCTGTATTTTAATTTTATGGGATATCTAAATTAGAATAAACTTTTATTAATATAAATACAATTTATTGCAATTTTGAGAGAACTTGTTTGTATTTCAAGTCTTGTGAGGGGTGCTTGTTTGGGTTAACGGCAATGACAAGTTTAAAGATTTTACAGGAAGTACATGACTGCTAAAAAAAACAATCCTTTGGCAGAACCAAGTTACGGTTATAAATAACTCATTTGTTGTTGCCCCAGACAATGAATCCAGAATCAACACTCATAAACTGCTATTAGGAATTAGCCAATTGCCTTTGCAGTAGATTTTCCCAGGCTACTTGATATTAATGGAAGACAATATGAATGCCTTTGTCATCTGAGAAGAGGAAGATGTATAAAAATTAGTAGAGGGAGAGAACAAAACCCGACGGAAAGTCTCCAGTAGAACCTGGATTGTATATAGTCAAAATTATCATTTTTAAGTCCCAAGGAGAAGACGCAAAACTAATAATTTTTCTCATCAATGCTCTCTCAAAGGCTAACAGGTTGTACATAAAAATAAAACTCTTGAATAGCCAAATCAGGATTTCAATTGAGAAGTCCCAGCCAAACCTGCCTCACTATTTACCTGTGTAGGTTTCCCCTTACAGGGAAATTTCATTCAATTCTTATTAGGTTCAATGCACTAATCTCCTAGAAATTTCACATTTGCTGCCAGAGAGATATTAATTATTGCTTTCTAAAGGGATTATCTCACTCCCATCTTGTAGCATTTTTTTTCATGGAAGAGGCCTGAGATAATCTGTGTTCCACTCCTGACAAAACAACAAACAAATAAGCTGCTAGCTATCCACCTACTTTAGTTTTTCTTGAGAAAAAGTTGCTCTAGTCTAGTATTCGTGAACAAAAATAGCAGAGTCTTGTGGTACTAAAGAAAAGACAATTTGCTGAATTTGATTTTGTGGATCACAGTCTACTTCATCAGATGTATGGCATGTAAACCAGTGATGAAATCCAAATTTTTTTACTACCGGTTCATGGACGTGGCTTGGTGGGCGTGATGTGGCTTGGTGGGCGTGGCTTGGTGGGTGTGGCAGGTGGTGTGTTGCAGTAAGGATACTGCAAAATCCCCATTCCCTCCCCACTCCTGGGGGAAAGATATAGCAAAATTAACAGCAACTGTTAGGAAAATGTGACCTTAGCTTGGGAAAACAAGAGAAAGAAACTCAAGATTGCTGCACCTTAATTCTCTTTGGTAGAGGTTAAATAAAAGGGAAATGCAGATTCCTTCCTCAGTATAGTATTATATAGTTTTTCAGTTATTTATTGTTGCTTTTCTACTTGTTTTATTGTTTTACTACGGTACATATCATCTAGAATCACTTGAACAGCTTCAATCAATTGAGGCAGCTTATAAATTGAATAAATGAATAAAAAAACAAAAAAACAGGCAAATGGTTTATCCAAGAATGGCAAGAAAAATATTAAAAACTTTAAAATGCTTAATTTCCTCATTGTTCTTGAAAGACATCCTGTGCATTCCATATTTATTTTGTTTTCAGCCAGAATTTGTACCATATCTTACTTTTTTTTAAAGGCCTAGTTGATTTGACTCCCTTTATAAACACACATACGCAAAAATAGGTGATCTAAAACAAAATCTTAGTACACAAATTGCTGACATCTTTCATCAAAACATTGATTTGAATGCAGTTTGAAGAAATCTAAGTGGTAAACAGAGTTGCTTTTTGTGAGATGGGCAGCTATATAAATTATATCAATCAATAAAATAAACTGTAGAAACTTGAAAAAAGTTCTAAATATAGAAATGCAAAATGATCTGTAAATACAGAAAACACCCCCCTTTTAAAATAAATGGTTCATATCAGAAAAATTGATTCAGAAAGCATAGTGCATATTACTAACTTTATTTTTTGCAGATGATTCACACTTCTAAAATTTTCCATCCACTTCACTTTATTGTACATTAAGCATAACAAACAAAAAATTCAAATTCATTCCAGGAATAGTTGTTTTCATATTATTTAACAATGCAATAATTATATAAAATAGATTTTTCGTATGTAATGAAAAGTATGCACTTTATCATAGTAAAAAATCTGCAGGTCACTTTGGTTATTCAAAAAGGTAGGAAAAGCTGTTAATATAAATTAAATGTATTTCCAAATATGCCTCAGCCAAAGTGGTAACAATATAACAAAGGCAGCTACCATCAGCCTCTTTTACTGTCTGTAAAGATTATAACTCTTTTAATTATATGAATTCAGCATACTAAAAAGCAGAGCCATCACCTTGCCAACAAAAGAGCGTAGTCAAGGCTATGGTTTTCCCAGTTGCAATGTATGGCTGTGAAAGTTGGACCATAAAAAAGGCTGAGCGCCAAATAATTGAGGCCTTTGAACTATGGTGCTGGAGAAGCCTCCTGCAAGTCCTTTGGACTGCAAGTTGATCAAACCTGTCAGTCCTAGAGGAAATCAACCCTGACTGCTCTTTAGAAGGTCAAATCCTGAAGATGAAATTCAAATATTCTGCCACCTAATGAGAAGGACTCACTGGAGAAGAACCTAATGCTGGGAATGATTGGATGGGATTGGATGGCAAAAGAATGGGACGACAGAGAATGAGGTGGATGGATGGAGTCACTGAAGCAGTCGGCATGAGCTTAAATGGACTCCGGGAGATGGTAGAGGACAGGAAGGCCTGGAGGGATGTAGACCATGGGTCACGATGGGTCAGACATGACTTTGCAACTAACAACAAAAAATTATGTGAATAAAACAAAGTATAAATTTGTTTTAGAAACACATTTCCAACAAAAGGCGAGTGTGTTTTGGCTGGGTTTGTATTAGTTTTTGTGAGTTTTATTATATTCATTTTTCATTATAAACTTGGCAACCTCAGACCTTATTCAAGTATTTATATTTCCCAGACAACTTTGTGAAGATTTTTTAAAATACTCCAGCATTAAAAAGATTATTCATTCAAGGAGCAAAACTTACCATGCACATTTCTCATAATTCCCAGAGCCCAAATCATCTAAAATCTGGGGGAAAGCTAGTTTTTTAAAGAGTGCTTGAAGATGGGCCTGGTAGGACCCATGTGGATCTATGAACAGAGAACGCCATTTATAAGAAGCAAGCAATGCACTTATATGGAGACAGAATGTGTGTTCCATTTATGCATTATATTACAAAGACTGCACATATATTCATACTTATCTGGCTATTGTTCATGAAAAAGATACAGAATTTCACTCAAACATTATTTTCCCTATGACAACAACAAAGGGGAAGCTTAAGTCCTCCCCCCCTCTCCCCCTGCCCCTCCCCCCCGCAACACACACCCCTGACTCTAAACCAGGCTTGGAAGAAAGAAGAAAAACACCAAAGAAGAGGGCTTCCATTCCCAACGCAATGGTATTAAAAGTGAACAAGAAATTAAAAGGGGTTAGGGTGGAAATACCAGCGACAAACATAGCCCACCAGAGGTCATCCACAAATCCCTACTTGCTATTAATCACATCTTGATGCTATAACACAACCTAAAACAAACTGGAAAGGTTCAAAGATCATCTGTTTCCTCCAAGGCCTTTGGGACTGCAAACTATTACCTTCTCTACAATTTCCCTAAAAAGGGAAGGATAATAATTATAATCTACTAATACTAAAGGGCATGCATAAGAGCACCAGGGTGCCTACCGTCCCTGTTCTAATGTTCCCTTTAATTGTATTCATTTTATGTATTCAATTCATGCTTATAATTGTATATATTATCTAATACGTACTCGACAAAATAAATAAATAAAATAAAATAGAAAATAAATATTTATATAGTAAGATGCCTGACTCTCAGTGACTCTGGGAAGTTGGGCAGCATCTAAGATTGAAGACTGAACAAAAATTGTCCAATCCCATTGCATCCAATAATGGCCTCTTGAGGAGAAGCGGAATCACAATAGCACCTTTCTCTTCAACAAAGAAGAATTCACTAGTGGCTTGCATTCCTTCAAATTCTGCCACTATGTCACATTCTGGATACAACAATAATAATTTAATTGATTTTTAAAATAACTATCTAAAATTGATAAAATATAATCAGTATTCAGAATTTGGAGAAATAAAAAACAATGCACCAAGATTTACATAGATGAAAATTACTTACACTAAATGGCTAAATTCGTCAAAAAAAAGCCATGGTTTGTTGAATAGACCCCAGTGGCTGGGCTTACAAATCAGGTAAGGGCATTAACTATGATTTTAAAACCTTGGAGGTTAGGTCTAGAGAATGATGAAAGCAAAGGGAAACAAACTACATTACTATTTAGTGCTAGAGGTGAGCTTAATTCCAGGGTCAAACTAATTGTAACAGCATTTAGCTATTGAAATATATATTATGAAATATATTCATTTTTAAGAAAGTTCTATTTTTAACAGTAAAATAGAAATACGAATGAGTACAGAAATATTTTCACTTAGGTTAAGCCATTCATATCATATCATATATAAAATCAAACAAATCTTTATTATCGGTCATAGACCAGCACATAGCCATTAAAAAACAAACATGTTCTACTAGGCAAAGCACACTAATACAAAGGTTAGAGATTATGTAGCATTTTTTTTTTAATATTCATATTTCATTACCCTTTCTACTGCTCTTGTAAGCGATTGAAGAAATTTTACAGAATTGCCACAGTCACATTTTGTTTAGCCTTCATTTTTCTGAACACAGGTCACTGACTTATTCACACATTTTATTATACACATTTTATTTATTTAATAAATTTACTTAACCACCCATTTAACAATGAAATTCTGGTTGGAGAATAAAAGATAATACATAATATACAATCAAATCAAATCAAATCATGGTGTACAATTATTTCCACAGCTGATTCCAACAATAAAATCATCCAACAGGTGAGCAGGGACGGAATCCAAGATGCTATTTACAAATTTCTAAATCAAGGCATAGTGCAGATGAATATATGATAATATTTGGTCACACCAAAGTTAAATTTACAATTATTTACCTCCCTTTTTCTTCTCCCAAATTTTCCTTTACTTCTGTTTTATGATTATATTCTTCTTGCCCCAGCTGAATTTTTATTTTTATAGACTTGCTGAAAAATAATTAGCTCTCTTTAAAAATCTGAGTCTTAAAGGCAAAATGAATTATACAGGCTGTGTCGATTTGCATATCCTAAAAAATGTGTTCATAGAATTAGATTTTTTGGCACAAATTTCAGACTTTTAAAAGATGGAGGAGGGGTTCCCTCACAAAAAGTGCATATTGCATAAACAGTCCATCAGAATTTCAAATGACTATGTAAATTTGGACTTTTGCACAGTTCCCAGAGAGTCCTTATCTTCTTGTTATGGAACTGTTTAGTGGAAGGAGAGATGTTCAGTTACATCCAAAAAACGTTAATCCCTACAAAGGATAAACAAGAAAAATAGTTAAAATGGTATCTTGGCACTGTGAAGTAATCATTTTGGCACTTTTCCTTCATAATTCTATGATAAAAGCAAAGCATGATCACAGCTGCAAGGCAGAGAAAAATTTCAGCATGAGATTTTGGAAAGCCACTATCAGCCAGAGCAGACAATACCAGAATAGATGGCAGGCTATAGAAATTTCATTATCTTTTATGCATATTCGGAGGTACTTATGCGACTACACAATCTCATGTAATTCTATTTTGGCTATCTACAAACAAGAGACAGCTATCTGTCATTTTGGGATAAGCCATAGGATGTGACATATTATATAGTAGTCAATTTCCTCAAAAGTGAAAGGAAAAAGGCAGTTTTATTTTATTTTATTATTTTATTCATCTATCTATCTAATTTACATTGCCTCCCATTTTGCCAGAAATGACTCTGGGTAGTGCACAACTATCACATGAAACAACAAATATAAAAACAACAGGTATGTCAATCAAATGTAAAAACAGGTATAAAATATAAAAATCCATATTAATAAATATCATAACAATCAAACATAAAACCATAGGCAAAAGGAGGATAATAATGACACTCAACAATGGAGCCATCTAAGTAAGACTTCAGTTCCCTGAGAGTCCCAGGCCTGATAGTCAGGCCTTGAGGGCTTTCCGGAATGTCAAAGAATTAGAATTAGAATTAGAATAACAGTGTTGGAAGGGACCTTGGAGGTCTCCTAGTCCAACCCCCTGCTCAGGCAGGAAACCCTATACCATTTCAGATAAATGGCTGTCCAATCTCTTCTTTAAAACTTCCAGTGTTGGAGCATTCACAACTTCTGGATGCAAGTTGCTTCACTGATTAATTGTTCTAACTGTCAGGAAATTTCTCTTTAGTTCTAGGTTACTTCTCTCCTTGATTAGTTTCCATCCATTGCTTCTTGTCCTGCCTTCAGGTGCTTTGGAGAATAGCTTGACTCCTTCTTCTTTGTGGCAACCTCTGAGATATTGGAACACTACTATCATGTCACCCCTAGTCCTTCTTTTCATTAAACTAGACATACTCAATTCCAGCAACTGTTCTTTATAAATTTTAGCCTCCAGTCCCCTAATCTCTTTGTTGCTCTTCTCTACATTCTTTCTAGAGTCTTAACATCCTTTTTTACATTGTGGTGATCAAACCTGGATGCAGTATTCCAAGTGTGGTCTTACTAAAGCATTATAAAGTGGTATTAACACTTCACGTGATCTTGATTCTAGAATTTCAAGAGGGGGGGGAGGGGATGTTCTATAACGCAAGCACCATGGCAGAGATGGCTCTGATTTAAGCAGATAAAGGATTTTAACTACAAATACATTAAAGTGGTTCTGATAAAGAGGAGAGAGAATTCAAGTTTGTACTACGTGTCAGAATCATAAATCAAGAGTTCAAAAATATTACTTCAAAAGTTGTATAACAAAATGGAGCACTTACTAGGGTACAGCGTTAAAATAGTCTTTTGGGGTCACAGTTTTTATTCCACCAAAGAAGTCTAGGAGCCAAATGTTGATGATGTTCAGTTTGGCAAAAAACCAGTTATGCCCTTTAGGCCAAAATTCCATTTCAGGATGTCTACTGAACAGTGCTGTCTTTGCAAAATCAGCTTCTGTACCATTCTGAACCTAAAAAAAGAGATTTCAGCAATATAAAAGACAACAAATCAGTTAACCATTATATTTTTCTGCAAGTCTTCTCAAGATAGGACAATCCAGGACATAACAGAACATATAACTAGAAGTTGAACAGCTGTTGGGACTCAATCCAGTGGAATTGTAGACTTTGAATTGCTGCCTCTGCACCTAGCTAATAGTCTCACAACCAACAGCTGGAAAATTGTGTGCCCATAAGTTGAATTACCTTTAGTTGGACAGAAAAAGCAGAACATGCTGCTTTTCATTTGGTCCCAGTTACTGCTTGGATGACCATGTAGTGTTTAGGAACTAAATATTTTTAGTCTTGGATAGTGATTACATTTGTTTTTAAAACTGTACTAAATCATTTTATGAATTATCATGTACAAATCGTACATGCTAAAAGTTTATATCGGGTAACAATGAGAAAAATTTGAGAAGAGCAGTGTGGCCTTGTGCAGAGTTTTGCTTTTCAGCAATCATTGAGAAATTTATGAAAATGAGAAGAAAGTTTATTGTTCATTTGTTGACTTAGAGAAAGCATGTGATAAAATCAGGATTCATTTACTGAATACTTTATGTGAATATAGAGTTGAAGGTTAACTGTTGAATGCAATAAGATGGAGATAAAGCATGCATGAGAACAAGTGGAATGTTTAATAAATGGTTTGACATTGAGCACAATCAATATGCAAGTCAAGGATGTGTACATGTATTCATATATTTATGGATATAATTATAAGGAATGTTTGTGGTGAAGGTGAAGGAAAGTTGGCAGGCACTGTGAATGTTATTTATACTTTTCAATGCAAAGAGTCACATATTGTTGACTGAAAACTGAATGATTTGCAACAAACACTAAGTATACTGTATTATACGAAGCAATGAAGCATATGGAACTGATAATGCATCAAAGAGTAAGGTAGCTGTTTTTAATAGGGAAAATAGTAAATAGTTTCAGGTTTATATAAATAGTGAAAATATTGAGCAGATGGATGAATTTGTGTATTTTGGTAGAATAAGATAATGGAGGGGTATAATTAATGGCATTGAAATAGACTAGAATTGTATTTCTTTTTTTTGTCCTTATCTCACATTTCTTTGGGTCACTGTCTCTTACATTCTGGAATAATTTTGCCTATTGCAAATAATGTCATGGGTATGTGCCACCCCAATTTCAAACACTGATGTCATTTGAACTATAATACTATAGACAATTTCTTTGGAATAATTCCTATAAACTCAACAGAACTTGATTCTCACCTTCTCTACTACCACCTGGTTCCTTGAATTAAGTCTGAAATGCAAAGCTCCAAATGAAGATTAAAACAATATTGTTTTATGTGATGTTTATTTGTATAGTTATGCTGTAGATATTTTATTGAATTTTTATGAACATGTTGAAACTGTCAAAAGTCTCTCCTGACTGCAGCAATTATATGCCTACATAAACATGTTTTGCTACAATAAAAAGGAATAAACATTTTGCTACAATAAAAAGGAATAAACATGTTGCAGTATAAAGTTTTCTAGGCCAAAGGTGATTTTTCATCACCTTGCCAACTGGGAAGAAGAAAGCAATTTCTCTCCGAAATCCCAAAACTAGAGAGCAGACAAATATCCTTTTTAGCAATACTCTATAATCACTTACTCAGTAGTTTGCCACATAATTTGCAAAGCATTGTGAGATTCCAGCATCAGAGTCCCACACAATGAGGAAAGTAGCTGGGAGAATACAATGCACTGTCCTATGTGGCTATTTCCTCATCACAAAATAAGAAAGTCTCTTCATTACATCAGGGTCAAATATTTATATGGATTTTTACTGTTATATATGCAGACTCAGGAGACAGAGATTATGTTAACATCAATGTTTAAAACACACTATTATGAGAACTCTTTTCTAATTCCGAGCTAGAATTTACATCTATAGTCTTGTTACCAGCACAAATATTGGTTTACCTTCTCAACTACACCATAGAAGATCACATGGGCACATAGAGGATCTTGTGGATCATAACCATGCTTCTTGCAATAAGAAGTCTGTGCCAAGGACATGGTTAGGGAGGCATTTGCATTCACCTGAAATACAAGAAGTAAATTGGGTTTAATTAAAGTTCTAGCTCATTGAGTAAAATAATGATAAAAGATAATTAGACATATAGTTGTCAAAAGTAACCTACTTAAAAACATTTGAATTTGCTTGTTTCATTTTCTATTTAGTGTAAAAGTTTAAAAATCACATGATGTTTACTCAGCCTTTTCTATAAGGCACAAGACTGAATTGTGACCTCTTGAAATATTCAAACAAATTTATTTTGGGGGAAAAAGTGAAGTTACAGCAGCACATGATTTAAATGTAAGCATTTTACATTTGTTGCTTCAATATTAACCCAAATACAGATTACTAAATTCCAAGAATTTGCTGATTCATGACTGAGTATATTATCTGTGGAAAATGTCTCCAACTGTCATCTGTATTGCTGGAGATAAAAAGACAGCAGCACTTTTTCAAGATACTGTCCTTCGGAATGAGGAAAGGACAAGTTAGCCTCATGGTCCAATAAGCACCATGGAATTAGCAAAAACATTTTTAGAAATACAACCCACACTGTTGAAAAGTTTCTTTAGGTTCTTCATATTTTATACACCACACAACAATGCTACATTTTTCTCTCTTTTCAAAGAAAGAACTTTATAACCATCTCCAATAGTTCTTATCTGACAAATTGTACACAGATGACGGAGTAATCAATGGATTCTAATTTCAAGAAGAGAGTCCCAAAATGTACAAGCCTGTCCTAGATGAAGCACTTTTATTGGAATCATCTAAAACGTCACAAATAGGCAAAATGCTTTCAAGATCTCTAGAATTCTATTGTTCTTACCATCTATGAAAAAATATGTGAACATTTAATATTAAATTCAGCTGAAAAATGTGCATAAAGTTCAGATATAAACAAGATAACAAAAGCTAAATAATTTTTAGAAGAGCTTCTAATATTCACTCAAGATTCTAATGAGCAAGAAGATACTGGACCCTAAATGTGCATTGTTCAATAAATAAATAAGTGGACTATTCATTATCAAGACTTTTAAAAAGCATTATCCAAATCAAACGAATCTTTATCTCTCTTCACATACAGAGGGAACATAGTAGAAGGTCATGGTATTTATAGAACTTTGTTTTCTCAAGCAGTCAATATAGAAGTCAAATTGACAAGACACAGCTTACTTGTTTAGACATGCATTTCTTGAGAATTTAAGATTTTCAGTCTTACAAGCTTAACTTTAAGTTGCTAATTATATTCCTACAACAAACAAAATGCGTACAAATTTTAGATTAGAAAGCATTTCAGAGATATAGCTGAGCTCCCAAACAGGAGTGGATAGTTTCAAAATCTGCATTCAGGTCTAGCAACATACAGATTAAGGATGTCACAACTTCCTGCATACTTCAGAAGGGAAGAAAAGACATTCCATGAAGTTCGAAGTAAGAGAGTAGAAATGTTTGTGGCATAACCCTCAGCAATGCATAGTAATCGATCATTAGAGGCTTTTTTGCTGCCAATCAGAAGCAAGCATTGAAAACATGCACTATAAAATACTGGCAATATTATTTGTTACCACTATATTAAAGAAATATGGAACCACCTGTAAACTAAGATAATTATGAATATATCATCATGGGAAAATCTCCCTCTCTCTCCCCCTCTCACCTACCTACCTACCTACCTACCAATTTTTCCATACAATGAAAGACAAATTGAAAAAAGAAAAGAGAAAGAGAAAAAATGCAAAAAGATGAAAAGAGAAAAGAACTAAAGTTAGAATAGCTTCCTACCTTCTTTTCAAGAGACACTGTAGACACAATTTTACAATCCCTCCTTCCTCTGAGATTTCTTCAGTCCCTTATATAGTCCAAGTCTAGCTTAAACTTCAAACATCCTGTAAGTCAATATCTCATTTCTTCATTTCTTTCAGTAAAAAGTCCATATAAGGTTTCCAGTCTTTCAAAACAATTATCTTCATTTCAAATCATTGTTATTACCGGTAGGTAACTATCAGATTAGTCTGAACTACTACAATCTGGGGTCAAGTGAACTGAAAGATTGCTCATAACTTGCTATATCATCCTTTTCATTTGACTTTGAATCTACAGCAGACACGATATCTGTGTCTTTTAACAAATACATAGAAGTGTGCTTTCTGTGAGACATTTATCACCCCAGAAATCTGATTTAAAACAGTCCTGCTGAATTCTGTCTTCAGTAGCTAGACATTCTATCCTGTGCTATGATATGCCATACTTTTCAGAGTATAAGACACACTTTCCCCCCCCCCCACCCCAAAAGAGGGTGGAAAATAGAGCCAGTTTTGGCCTCCCGAAACCCTGCCCTGCGCGTTCCATTTTCACCAACAACAGGCCTGTTTTTTGCAAAAACTGGATGCGCAGAGGGTTTGGGAGGCCTGCAGAGTGCTCCTGGTGGCTGGTGAAGGCAAAAACGCGACACGTGGGGGGGGTTGGGAGGCCAAAAACAGGCCCATTTTTCACGAATACAGGACCGCCTGTATTGTGTCATATGGATATAACAGAGACATCTTTCAATCAAAATAAATCCAAACAGCAACAGTAAAAGGAACAGTGGGATGTAGTTTGTTCCTTCTGGAAAAGCAAGATGACATAGCATATTTAAACCAGACCAGATGATGTTTTTTGATGCATCTGCATGACAAGATTCTCCTACAATATCGGTTGTGAATAAGGCATTGCAAACTGCAGAAAACTTCACAACCTTACCAACTTCAAAAATCAGGTTTATTTGTTGGTCTTCTGGCACTCCAGCATCAGCTGAAAATCATATACATCCTATTGAGTTAGTTTTCTCATTGGAAACTGCTTGCTACATCCCTACTTCCCAGTTCACATTTTAGTCCAAATGGGGAAAAATTCACAAAAATGCAACCAGATTAGCATACTGGTACATCTCTCCCAGGGTTTGCAGCCAAATCTCAAATAGTAGACTTCTTAACAACTATGGTTTTTAAAATTGATCTGCATCTGTTACCCATAGATCAATTTTCCTTTGCAACTATCCCCTCAGAAAGGATGTACTGCAAATCATATGGAGGTGTCCAAATGTGTCCGCTGAATCACTAGTAACTGTATGTGAGTCTGCCATCGTTTCATCTAATTATCTTTAAGTATTATTTATTTCCTCATGAATCATAACAATTTCTATTCATTTGACTGATAGTCCCGTGAAGACAATTTAATATTTAATTATTAATATTCAAAGTGCAGACAAGTTCAGTTCAAATTTACTCAAAGTTTCTCTACACAGCATTTGCTAAGAAACTAATAAGGTAGTGATGAGCTAGAAAACATTCTGCCTATGTTATCTGCCTAGCATTCACCTGAGGATCCCTCTTCATGAAAGCAGAAATTGTGGATGATTTAGTGCTTTTTTGCAGGGAAAAAGATTGTTAAAGTAAAAAGAAGAAAACAAATCAGTTAAAAAAAATCAAACTTGCCCTACATAGAGTTGGCTTGTACTTACTTTTTCAGGTTAAATGAAGATTATTTGAGGAGGAGGAACTTCTCCAAACAGGAATGTTTTCAATACGTCTTTTAATCTTTGGTTCCTATGAAATTTCATCTCTTTATTTGGAACCTTCCTTTTATGGTTCTAACTACTTTTACTAAGGCAATCATAGAGTATGAAGTGTTGTGACCCCTGAGCCTGTCCTAACAGAGGAAGAGGACTCAGAAGGTGAGGACCGTCCTTTCTGGCAATGCCTCAGGTTCCATCCGAAGGCCAGAAGGAACAGCCTGGGATGTGCCAGGAAGAAGGCATATTGGAGCACCAATTGATAGGGAGCGAGGAGGATGAATCCTGGCTTGATCCCAGGCAGCGTCGGAGGGAGAAGCGTGCACAGCAACGGAAGAGGTGTGGGAGGACCAGAGATTGAGCTGAGTCACGGAGCCACGCCCCACCAGGAATAAAAGTGGATGGGATTGCTCTTCAGGCTTTGTGACGGACAAAGTTAAACCCTGAAAGTCACATCGTGATCTCTGAAATTCGACTTGGATATATTTTGGACTGAACATTGACTAAACTCTTGTCTCGTGGATAATTTGTTGCTCCTGGTACAGACTGAAGATAAGTCCTCTTCTGCTTTATGGGAGTTAAGCCTATCTTGGCAGACATTTGGCAGTTTGCTGCCAAAACCTTGGTCTGCCAAGAATTCTAATCTGTTTACCTAATAAAAAATTGGCAGGCGTGCTAGGTATTACGTTTGCCTGTGTGTGAGGAAGGGGGACAGAACGCATAGAGTATGATGTATCACGTATCTATTAGTATGTATGTAACTATTTGGTTTAATAATTGTTTATTAAATATATATTTTGCCTGACTCCCAGTCTCTCATTTATTCAAATTTGCTGATCACAGCAGTAAATTACTAAAAACACATCTACACTTAAGTAAATATGGCTTGACGTCTATATTTAAAAACACACCTACACAGAGATTACTTCTAATTACACTATTATTTTAGAAGATGATGAAAGACAAAGGAGAAGAATGGATAAGAGTGAAGTCAAAAAATTCCAAATAAACTCATCATAGAGTTTTGAGCTACCAAGAAAGAACTGAAAGGAACTTTAGAGGATGGCTTGTCATATGTAAGGTAAATAGCATAAGACTCTAGTAACAGATAGCTGAGTCCCCTACAGATTGACAATTTCCCATACTAGGTAAAGAGAATGGGCCAGTTAAGATTATAATTTTATACAATCTTTCTTGGAAGTGGATTCAAAATTCAATGCCCTTGTTCTATAAGAAATCTGATTTGCGAAACCTAATGCTGTGAATGTTCAGCTTATAAGTGTGTGCAAATTATCCTTCTATTACAGAAATGTTGGTCTTTTTAAAGCACTGACATCCCTAAAATTTCATCACTTGGAAGCAGAACATGTATTTTTAATACTCAGCCATAATCATTGTAACACTGACTCCTCTCTACACAGACAAATATCACTGTAGCTACCTTCATTCACACATTGTATTAATAATTAAATGAATCCATAGCTTAGTATAATATATAAAGTGACTTCTGTGATTTAATATAATGCACAAATCTACTTATTACAATTCATTCAACACTGCTTAAAAATGTAGCTTAGCATAACTGGAGCACTATGGTAGTGCGACTAAACCACTGAATGCAGACAAAAGTATATGTTATTGAGATTTAATATAGAACAGAGTAAAACTATTACTTTGGGTTGTTTTGCAATTCTATTTCTACTTTGTACAGCCTAAAATTCAGTCTATTTTATTGTAATCAACTATAATTCCAAGGTCCTTTTCACAAATCTTATCCATATTTTTACACTTAACTTCTTTTTCATAAGATCTTTGCATTTGTCCAATTTAAAAATTCAGAATTACTATCAGAACCTGCTGTTTTATCATACAGGATAAAATAGGCCATGTCATCTCTATTTTGTTCTGCAAGATAAATAGCATTCTGAGAAAATAGGCATTGCTATTTAAATTGAAGGAAAAATTAAAACACCTTTTTGCCATTACAATAGTTACAGTCCATTCCAGACTCCAATATTAAAAAGTGAAACAAAATCCCACCCAGTTTTTCATACTATATCTAACTCGGCCTCAAGCCAGAAAACTGGCATGAAATTCCTGCTCAACTTGGGGATTGAATTATGATTGTCAAATCTTTACATTGCAATTTTCATGCCACAGGCTTATTAACTAAAACACAGAAGCATACAGTATGTACTAAATGGAATAGTCAGGACCTCACATAAAATTGTTATTTTATGCTGAAAAATAATCCATGATTCCTTTTGCATCATCTTTTTCAAAACATCAATAGGTACCGATGGACTTGTCTTTAAAGCTATGCTCTTATGGCCACAGAAAACACCATGATTAGATTTAATTTGACTCATTATAGATTAATCTTAAAAGTGGAGCGCACCAACCTGCAATACAGAGGAAAAACTAGTTCTTGTGGGGAGGGGGGGGGAAGCGGTACATTTAAATCATTTTTGGTAATCCGGAGGAATCTAATCTTCCTCATAAGAAAGTTATTAGTGGATATTTCCCTAAGAACTGACCGAAAATGCTGATGGAGGAAACTGCATTTTCTTCTTTTACGACCATGCCGGGCCACACATTAGAACCCCAAACCAGCCGGGCACTTCCTTCAAAGGCAACGTACCCAGGACGAAGCTGTCAGCCACCGCTCACCTTCAGGTCATGCACTGAGATTTCCAGCTCCGTCAGGTACATATAAGGGACCCCACTACTTTTTCCCACCGGCCCATCGCTGATGGAAAAGACATTGGCGAAGGGCTGGCCCCGCATCGGAGGATCCTGCGTGGAGATCGTAGCCAGCGCGCCCCACTCACACATATGGGCCACGAAGCGGGCGACCCGTGCCGTCTCCTGGTGCGGGGGGATTGCGGTCACTCCCGCCAGCAACCACACCAGCCGCCACATCTCATCTCCTTTTGGAAAAGATCCCTTAAGACTAATAGGGGAAATCGGGCACTTAAAAAGCTAGGCAGCCCCGCCCTCCTTCCGCGCATCCAATAAAATACCTGCCTGCTTCTGAAAGTTCCCATGACAGGAAGGTTGCTAAGATTTTCATCCAATGGCAGCTCAGGTTAACCCCTTTTTAACCAGTAAAACCTAACTAATGGCGGAAAACATTGTGGGCATAGCTACACGTTATGGGCGGGAGTATATTGCTATCCACCAATGATAATACGCCTTAAACTTCAGTAAACGAAACGTGTGGGTAGGTAAATAAGGAGGAAGCGATAAAGTATATAAGCTGTTTGACTGGATATATAAGTATCTTCGTAGGGATATGTGGTTGTATTTGTCAGCATGCTAAAAATAATTAACAAACCAAAATGGCTATGTTTTAATGACACATTGCTATATAATCTAGGCAATTGATGTTAGCCTGTGTGTTATGCGAACAATTTGTATAGTTTCTGATTCAGTGAGATGTCTGAACCCCAAAAATCATTTTTTTAAAAAAAACAAAAAACAGTTTAGCTAATCATGAGTATGAATGTAAACAAAATCATTCTAAGGCAAAACACATAGTATGTTTGGTTTATGCCTACCTATTGTAGGTTTGAATTATAGTTCATTGGTACATTTGGGGAGTTCAGCCTAGCAAGTAAGATTAATTAGAATATTTTTTTGTTAATTTCTGTAGTGGAAAAGTGAAACAAATAATAATTCCCCTTTTAAAAATAAGTATTTATCTGAAGTGATGTAGTAAGTGCTATTTAGAGAATATTAGTGGATAATAACATATATTCTGAGTAACACCTCTGAAGCTATACTCTGTTAGAGGTTAGTACTTTGATGGAGAGCACCACAGATTCCAAGGATGATGATGGAACTAGTCTACAACATTGCATGGATGCGATTACCAAGTCTTTGGGTTTGTTTGTTTTTTAAAATCCTTCTGAAGACTAGTAGTAGCTTGGGGCATTGACTGTTGAGGTCAGAAAGCAAGTTGACTAAACTGTAGTCTTAGTATCAATAAATCCTATTGATTTTGGAGTGGGAGATTGTATTCCTAGGAGATGGCCAACTGCATGAATTTAATTTAAAATGCTTTTGCCTGTGTAAATCTCCCAAAATAGTTCTTTTTTATTTTTTTAATAAGCATATGTGTAGCAGGAGGCAAGAAAACATCCTAAGGTAGTCTGAGACTGTAGACTGAAGGAAAACTCACTGATCATGGAAAACGGTCTTTCAAGAATAATATGACAAGCTGTGGAAGTTGAGCCAATTATCAGTTCTTTACAAGTAAGGCCATTCCACTTGTTTTCCTCTCCTCTCTGTTCCTGGTGTATTATCTCTGTAGATGTAGACTGTAAACCTGACTAGAAGAACTGGGCTGGTTCAGATATTAAAAGTGGTTTGTTAAATGACAACTAGAATCAAACATCACCCTAAATCATAAAAAGGAGGGCAATGATTCCTTATCCTGCTTGTGGGCTGCTGAAGAAAAGAAAGACTTTACAATGTCACTAGAGGTTTACAGAAGGATAAAATAGGTACCTTTGGCCTTAAGACTCTTCAATAACCTATTTGATCCTTAGACTACCAATAGAAAATTTGCTGGAAGTACAATATGGGATATCCCAAACCTTCCTCAGGCTTTGGGAAGGCATAGGTGCATTCTGGTTTGCCTATCAATGCCATAAATCATGGTTATAAATTGCAGTGGCTGTGTGAATATATGTTAAGCCCAAATCAAACTACATTGGTGCTTAGTGTAATGTGTATACTATGTTTGCTGCTGTCCCAAAGGACAACAGTAAACTTAATGAACTTGAATGACTTGCCTGCAAAAATATTTCAACAGTAGCAAAGATAGATGGGACGCGGTGGCTCAGTGGCTAAGATGCTGACATCGTCGAACGAAAGGTCGGCAGTTCAGCGGTTCGAATCACTAGTGCCGTGTAACGGGGTAAACTCCCGTTACTTGTCCCAGCTTCTGCCAACCTAGCAGTTCAAAAGCACGTAAAAAATGCAAGTAGAAAAATAGGGACCACCTTTGATGGGAAGGTAACAGCGTTCTGTGGGCCCTTGGCGTTTAGTCATGCCGGCCACATGACCACGGAGACATCTTCGGACAGTGCTGGCTCTTCAGCTTTGAAACAGAAATGAGCCCCACCTCGTACAGTCGGGAACAACTAGCACAGTATGCGCGAGGGGAACCTTTACCTTTACCTATCAATGATTTCCTGCAGAACCGAAGAATTCCAGAAAATGATCGGATAAGCAGTCATCACTAAAACAAGTCATGGCATGGATTTTTCTGCTTCATGCAGGAGTTTGCACTAGATGGCTTATGAAATCGTTCCAGATTTTTGATTCTGTAAAATGGGGCATCATTTTAATCAATTAGTTTAAAATAAATTATAGGTCCAGTTTTAACAAATATTAATAGTTTATTTTTTAAAAAAAAAGTCATCAGATTTTTATTTTCTTGGAGTGATGCTCCATTATTAGATACAGTAGTAGGTATGTCAAAACCTCTGCATATATTTTCATCAGCAATATTACCTAGCAACAAGTTTATCTTGCATAATCTCTTCCACTCCATTATCACAAGAGGGTGCTATTTCCATAGTTTGGAATTTCAAAACAGAGTTGATACTGTATGCTGAATAATTGTGGAAGTTTTACCAGGCTTCCCATTAGAAAAGTACTTGCAGGGAAGTAGCAGGAGAGGGAAGAGTTACTTTCTTTCCAGGAGAGGAACGAAGTCAGTGAACAGAAGAAAAAAATGAACTGAAAAGTTAAACAAATACAGAATTTCAAAAATCTTCTATTCTCTGTCACTGTTGAACAATTATCTGTGGCTAAAGACCACATTTCCCTGTTACTGAATAATAGACATACATATCCATTAATCAGAGATTGTATATATGATCATGGAATTGCCCCCACCCCTATCTTCCTACTCAGACAATGTGAATCTAATAGGAAGGCTTTTGAAAGAAAAGTTTTTATTGTTTTGGGATTACTGTAAAAACTTTATTATGACCAAAAATAATTAGCAGAACAAAAGAAAACATAACCTTTAAAACCAGTAAGGAATATTGTATTGCTGCTTCCATATATCTAAGCAATAAAAGGATTCATATCTATCAGACAGAACATTTGTTTTCATGTTCATGAGTGTGTGTGATAAGAGATAGTGTACATGTTTCCTATCCTTTCCTGATGAAATCTGCAAAGGGCAGAACAGTGGTCCATGTTGTCAGTGTCTCACTGATACTGTTTCACCTTCTTCACCTGGGCATTCCCTTTTCAGTATAGTGGGGAATAAATATCAATATGCACCTAACATTTAGACTGCATTTATATGTTGCATTTTTTTTCTTTATCACTTCAATTTATTTTACAGGTGAAACTCGAAAAATAGAATATCATGCAAAAGTTCATTTATTTCAGTAATGCAACTTAAAAGGTGAAACTAATATATGAGATAGACTCATTACATGCAAAGCGAGATAGTTCAAGCCTTGATTTGTCATACTTTTGATGATTATGGCTTACAGCTCATGAAAACCCCAAATTCACAATCTCAGAAAATTAGAATATTGTGAAAAGGTTCAATATTCTAGGCTCAGTGTGTCCACTCTAATCAGCTAATTAAGCCATAACACCTGCAAAGGGTTCCTGAGCCTTTAAATGGTTTCTCAGTCTGGTTCAGTAGGAATCACAATCATGGGAAAGACTGATGATCTGACAGTTGTGCAGAAAACCATCATTGACACCCTCCATAAGGAGGGAAAGCCTCAAAAGGTAATTGCAAAAGAAGTTGGATGTTCCCAAAGTGCTGTATCAAAGCACATTAATAGAAAGTTATGTGGAAGGGAAAAGTGTGGAAGAAAAAGGTGCACAAGCAGCAGAGATGACCGCAGCCTGGAGAAGATTGTCAGGAAAAGGCCATTCAAAAGTGTTGGGGACTTTCACAAGGAGTGGACTGAGGCTGGAGTCAGTGCATCAAGAGCTACCACACACAGACAGATCCTGGACATGGGCTTCAAATGTCGTATTCCTCTTGTCAAGCCACTCCTGAACAACAAACAACATCAGAAGCATTTTACCTGGGCTAAAGAAAAAAAGAATTGGTCTGTTGCTCAGTGGTCCAAAGTCCTCTTTTCTGATGAGAGCAACTTTTGCATCTCATTTGGAAACCAAGGACCCAGAGTCTGGAGGAAGAATGGAGAGGCACACACTGCAAGATGGTTGAAGTCCAGTGTGAAGTTTCCACAGTCTGTGTTGATTTGGGGAGCCATGTCATCTGCTGGTGTTGGTCCACTGTGCTTCATTAAGTCCAGGATCAATGCAGCCATCTACCAGGAGATTTTGGAGCACTTCATGCTTCCTTCCGCAGATGAGCTTTATGGGGATGCTGACTTCATTTTCCAGCAGGACTTGGCACCTGCCCACGCTGCCAAAAGTACCAAAACCTGGTTCAATGACCATGGGATTACTGTACTTGATTGGCCAGCAAACTCGCCTGACCTGAACCGGATAGAGAATCTATGGGGCATTGCCAAGAAAAAGATAAGAGACATGAGACCGAACAATGCAGAAGAGCTGAAGGCCTCTATTGAAGCATCCTGGTCTTCCATAACAGCTCAGCAGTGCCACAGGCTGACAGCATCAATGCCACACCGCATTGAGTCAGTAATTGATGCAAAAGGGGCCCAAACCAAGTACTAAGTACCTATGCATGCTTATACTTTTCAGAGGTCCGATATTGTTCTACGTACAATCCTTGTTTTATTGATTTCATGTAATATTCTAATTTTCTGAGATTGTGAATTTGGGGTTTTCATGAGCTGTAAGCCATAATCATCAAAATTATGACAAATCAAGGCTTGAACTATCTCGCTTTGCATGTAATGAGTCTATCTCATATATTGTTTCACATTTTAAGTTGCATTACTAAAATAAATGAACTTTTGCACGATATTCTAATTTTTCGAGTTTCACCTGTATATTGGATTTCCTCTATTATCTCTTCTACTTTTCAAGCAGTTCTAAGCTTTCTTGAGCAACTTTTTTTCAGCAAGTGAAGCTTTGAAATAAAATAGGCCACAACACATCTATTTCACTTCGAGATATATAAATGTACCTTTCATTGGGATACAGCTTTCATGGCCTTTCCAAAATATATGCTGCTATATTGCCTATGAAATGTACTCTGCTGTGGCTAATCCAGCATCCTGAAAACTTTCTCACTGTTGGATGCCAACCCTATCTGGCTAATCTCCTTCCTCTCTCCAGATATCAGTCCTTTAATGGAAAACTAAACTTCTCTCTGGATAATCTGTTTCCTTTGTGAGTTGAGCCAGTCCAGCCCTTGAGTGTGACAGCAATGTTCCGTCATAGAAACATCTGTCTTCTTTCAGATACTATTGTTCTTGTCCTGGTCTTAATGCTCCATTATGCAATATAGCTATAGATTGCTACTGAATCTGTGCCATGTCCACTGGAATAATTATTTGATGTTTCCATTTTTCCTCTTCCCCATCTGAACTTCCCCATGAGTTTTTCCTATCTGCTTTACAGAAAGTGCAACTTGTCTATTTCTCCCATAATCAGTCTTTTTTCCCCTTGTAGATTCTTTTTTTTCTAGGAAATGCTATAGCAGAGACTTATAAACTGTATCAACATCCTCTTTAGGTATCAATTCATTAATATCTGTGCCTGTCTGATCACTATTTATGGTCAGTTGGACAAATTCTATGCATGTGATAGGTGGTAAATGACTTTTTGCAATTAGACAGATAAAATTGAACTCTAATACACTCTTGTGTGAAAGCTTCATATTTAAGAGTTAGTATTACCAACGTAATCTTCTATTGCAAGCATTTTATCTTCTTTCACAATTAGTTGAACAAATATTATTCAACTAAAAAAATAGATATGTTCCCACATATGCAGTGAGTACAGCCAAACATCTTGCTGGCTATAAATTCTGAAAATTGCAGTCTCAACAGAGTCAACAGAAGCAGTCAGATTGGAGAAAACTACAGTACAGTATTCAGAGTTCCTCTTTAATATGCTGGTGTAAAAGTAATATGCTTTTTAGAGCAGAAAAAATCTTGCTGTACACTAAATTGGATGAGAACAGATTGTATGCAAACTATGTATTTTGTTCTGAGGACAGCTTTCTGTTATAAGTAACCCGGTTTCTTCAAAATTACATTTCAGGAATCTGTCAATGCTCTCTGTACTGTAGAATTATTATGTTCAAAGGCAACTTAAAAGCAGTTGCTCAAAAGCAGCACAATTTTCTAAAGCATCTCTATTAGCCTCATTTTCTTCAGATAAATCCACAGAAAGCAAGTAAGTTTTTTAAAATGCTCTTATCTAATCTTTGGGTCCAAAAGCAAATTTCTCATACCACGAACAGCCTATATTCATTTCCTGTTGGGATTATCTGAGAAGGGTTAAAGATTTACAACAGTCAGGTCAAAACAGGATGTTGGCTTCTAAGTTCATTAAGCTGCAAAACGCAAAGCTCTTTCTGTTACTGCATCTTTTATAAAAGTGAGGTTCCTCACAGTTAAGCTTGAATCTGGTGACTTCATGGCAATGGTAACTTTTCTTGGCAACAGTGCAGAATCACAGGAAAACCCTAAAAAATTGTTCTCTTTTTTTTTCAACAGCTAACTTAGTAGTTCTGCTGTTGGCAAATGCTCTCAACCTAGCAGCTGGTGTACTCTTGCTTTATCCAACATTATGATTTCCAGATTTAATGACTGTTATTATACTATTATTATTATACTATACCAGTTGAGCAGTTCATGATACATTTTTATACTTTTATCCCAAAAAACATGATTGTGTGAAGTGAAATATGCACTGGATTGTAACGTGTTTGTGAATGTTTGCAGTTTTCTGTTGTAACAGATTTAGAATGATTTGGCCTATTGTGTAAAAACATAATGGAAGAATAGGAAAGTACAATAAGAAATTTAGAAAAAAAACTTGTCAGTTTTAATCATCATTGTGATTTCCTGAAAAGCTTATTGAGGAAAAAAGAAAATCCATATTCTCTTTTCCCCACTGATTTAAATATAAAACAAATCACATTTTCACATAAACTGTGCAGTTACTGAATTTCAGAGTCTATATCGGTATCTTCGATGTAATGTCTGGGCCTCTATACACCAATGTCCCTTTGATACTGCCTTTGATACCTACCTGTCCAACTTAACTTTAAGGCCACATCTAATGATAACTTTAAGCCAGTTTGAAGCCATCTCTAGAACTGGAGCTCATAATATTGGTTTGTGTGCAGTTAGCTTTGTTTCTTTTTCTGCAGTGATGTATTTGAAAAAAGGAGCAAAACTAGATTTCTTTTCCTTAAAGCTTCAGCTGAATGGCCACTTGATGGTCTCATTCCCCTTTGCCCTATTCCTGGTTCAAGCAGTCCTTAACTCATTCCTGTGTTACTCCCACCCACCCACCTATCCAAAAGTTCATTTTCTTCCTAAAATCCAAATTCATTTCCCTCTCTCCCCTCTGGTTAGCATGGTTAACAGCATGGGAGAAACTCCCAGCTGCAAACTTGCTGATACAATATGCTGATTATGTTTCCATTGCTTAAAGAATACAATACAAGACTTGAAGACTAATATAACTGAGATATCAATTTTAAAAGGGAACCCAATAAAATAATGTTAAGAATTGTAGTCCTCTAAGTAAATAGACTAAAATGGATATAGTAACAAAAAATCAGACCATGACGGTAGATAAGATTGCTCAACTGAATTGGTTTTATTACACAGCTGTTCTGTTTCTGCTTCTTTGTGTTTGTGTTCTGAGATTTAATAAAAGAGTCTATTGGGAAGAAATAGTATCATATTCACCATTTTCCTAATGCCATGTAAACTATGTTGAGAAAAAAAGAACACCCTTTTCCTTTCCTTTCAAGTATCATCATCTGTGGAGCATAGATATCTGCGGTAACACTAGGCCCATCCTGGCAGAAAGGATCCTTCTACTATTTTCTAGCATTGCTTATGTTCTTTTGTAATAAAAAGAGACATTGAGATGTTTCACTTGGAAGCGGCTGCCGAAAAAGATATTATTTCCTCCCGTGAGAGATTTGTCCTCAATGGAGATGTGTTTACTGACATCCTAGGTATATTTATTTATTGATCCCCCTCTTCTCATCCTGGAAGCCTCCTTTGCCCTTTTTTAGTCTGGTGGAGAATCCTAGGATTTAAAACCCAGAGGCTATTTGGATTTAAATCAAAATAAAGCCTCGGAAGAACTGCACATACAACTGCTTCAGTAAAAATTATCTTGTACCTTTGAAATCAGAGATATAGTTGCCAGAAAGACAGCTGCAGGGATGACTAAAAGCACACATACACAAACACACACCACCGAACTACTTCTGCTTGCATGCCATTAAATGTTACGAGAACTACGGAAATATCTACTTCCTGTTTAGCACCCATAGCCATTATTTTTATTTTTATATGTTAAATGATGCACACATGAAAACAAAACATAGTATTTTAAAAGTGTGACACTTAATTTGAAGATATTAAAACATAGAATAGTCAATGCCCAAATGTGAGAGTCCTTAAAGTTTGAGGAAAGGTTAAGTGGCTCTCTTGCCACTCCTTCTTCTGATTGGCCCTAATGCCACCCACCCATCATTAAGGCAATAAATCACAAGTAATTTATTGACCTAAAAACTGAGTGATTCTTTAAATGCAAAAATGGCTTTAATTAGCCTAATTACTTTGGGGGGGGGGAAAGGTAGCTATTTCCTAAGCTATGATTAAAGTGCCACCACTAAACAGAATTGTAATGGTTCAGACTCAAAATTTTTAAAAGTTCAGCAAATACTTTTTAAATGATACTTCCTTTTTTTTTTTTCCCCAAGCAGACAAACAAGAAAGAAAACAGAGATGACATTATTTCCTATACCAGTGGAAAACATTGTTAGGGCTGGGCAGACAAGAGAAACTTTCTGACATTCTCCTGATTCCATTCTGGAAGCTGATTTGCTGGAGTGATATTTGGCAGAGGTGCAGAGGGTATTAAACATAACTTGGCATGTCTCCCTCTGTCTCTTTAAAGTTAGTCTTTCCCAATCTGGCACTCTTCCGATATGTGTGATTACAATTCACATAGCATGACCTTTTGCTGTGCTGGTGAGGAATTATGAGAGCTATAAATCAACAAAACTGGAAGACACCAGATTGAGAAAGGCTACTCACATGTGACCTAAAAGGACAGTTTATAGAACACCAATTTATAATTTGCAAATATAAACATCTGCAATCAAAGGCAATTAATATTGTCATGCCAAAATGTAGAGGTTTCTCCACCCCACCTTATCCTACTTTAAAGTATGTGTATACAATCTGAGACAATTAAAAGGTGGCTTGCTAAAAGCCTTATGCCTCATCTGTTGGATTATGGCTCTGGAATGTGGCCTTAACATTGCCTTAATACTTCAAACTGGTAAATACCCTCCTCTTTTACTTGTTGGGTTAAAGAAGAGAGTTCCAGAAAACTATGGAAAAATACTAGAACCAAAGCTTTTACCGGAAAGAAAGATGTAGTAAGAAGAGGAAGTAGAAATTGAGAAATAACGAGAAAGGCAAAAATAGGATGCATAACTGATTCTGTCTTGCTCTCTCTTTTCTCCCCTCACTCCTGGAAAGGCAGTATCTGTTTAGTTTTGCGTCTAAATTTAAACCTTGATTGCTTTGTCTCCCTAAACACCCGCTCTCCCCCCCCTCCCTTCCTCTCCTCCCCCAGCTCCCCCCCCAGCCTTTACAGCAGGCCACATAGGACTCTTGACAGTTTCTAAGCTAAGCTGGAACTTGGATTTTTACACTCCCAAGCAGTGTGTTCTTATACTTTTCTTCTTTTTCTTTCCCTGCCTGATCAGAAGCTTTGAACAAATAGAGGAAATAAGGAGAAAATAAAACAACGGGATGGGGGAAGAAATACTTCCCAAGACCATCCCACACCTGCACAACAGAGAGGTAAACATATTTTATTTTTTGCTTTCTCCCTTATTTAGCTCTGTGATGTTTTGGAACTTTAAAATAAACATAGTTAAACCTTAAACAGCCCAGCTAACCAAGTCTATCAAGCTTGTACCTCAACTGTTTACTCATTAACGGGCAATAGTGTTAATGTGAGGAATTAAATACCATTTTTGTCCTTCTCAGAGAATTTTGCACTTGAACCAGGTTAATTTTACTTGACTCAAAGCATCTGTGTGTCTTCATAAGAAAGTTCATATTTAAGGCCAATGTTAAATAACTGACATTTGGTTTGTCTATTTATGTTTGACTTGAAACTAACTATAATATATTGGGACAGAATTTGGAAATTCAGTTTTAATAGTTAACATATTCACAAAAGCTATTGCTCAGGTTGAAGTTTCCTTCTCTGATTCAAATGTTATCTTTTGTATTCTTAGTCCTCGTATCATTGTTCTCAATTTCTTATCATCTTTTCTTGGTTCATACATGCAGTTCTTCTACTTCATATTACCTCACAAACGCACAAATCCAACATGTCATAAAAACAGCGGTAGTCAAGTTTTTTCTTATTTGAATTGTGCAGATATATAGATTCCAGGAAAAAGGTTGTAGCTCTGTACTTGTTATATTAAAAACACATTCTCACTTACAAGAACTTTAGTAATTGCAATGTAGAAAAAGTTTAATGCATTGCAATTCTATCAATAGGACTTAATAATTTCTACGGATAGCATTCACCAGTATCATATCAATACAATCTTTTAAACGGATAGCTTGGTATTAAATAATTTGAGAATTGATAATCTACTGAGTAGGACATAAAAACATGTCCATGAAAATTTGAAAAGAACACACAAAAATCATGTTCTTGTTTTCATATTTCAAGGCAGGAGGAAGAACATATTAGATCTTTATAGGTCCACATATGTCCAAACGTGCCTGCTGACAACTGATTGGGTACTTTACTTGTGAAGTGATTAATAGCTGGGCTGATTTGCTATTTATTAAATCTGTTGTTTAGATCTGTTATATATTTGAAAGGACTCATCTACTTTTTAGCTAGCATTCTCATGATTTTAAAAAAGTGGGAAAGTGAAGATACATATGCTTATCTCACTCCCTGTTATTCAGTTAATTTGTAAAATAACTTTAAAAAGCTAATGTGTTCCTTGATTTATTTAGTGGGAAAGGCTGTAATGTTTACAAATAATATTTCAGGATTGAGATTATCAAAATTAAATATTATTTAAGGAGAAAATAGTTGTAAATCAAATTGCATACTGAACCCTTGGATTTTGGTTTCTATTTGACCTTTTGACCAAAGAATTGACCAATTCTTTGCTAGGTTTACACATAATAATAAATCATAATTTACTTGTTTGCTTTTTGCTATGTGTGATTAGTAAAACTGTCATTCTGGCTTAGTGTTGTATATAAACCAAGTCATGATGGTCTGTTCAACAAAACACGATTTTAAAAATTCTAGTTTCAGATTATGTGTGAACCCAGTCCTTATCAGCCCTTATTTGTTAAGATAGCGTTATTTGTGTTATTCATTCATGTCATGAATCATGTCTAGATTAGTGTTTTTTGTAAGTATTCATGAAAAGAAAAAAAAAGAATTTTGTTCAGTGTTTGTATAAGCCAAAATATTTCTGAATGTCCACTTTCAAAATTCTGATGTTTTCATAAATTTGAAGGCAGATTGGATCAGAAGATTTATCAATTTAATCTTTAAAAAGATTAATTTCCTGTTTAGATCACATGCAGAAACCAGCTAGCATAGCTTATAAATATCTGTGGGCTTTGTCAGAATGTTTCTTGCCTTTTTACTGTCCTGTGGTAAAGTTATCTGGAAAAAAAAAGTAGAGAACTCAAGATAGGTAAAAATTAATCAAGAAGAATTGATCCATAATTTAAATTTAAGCTAGTGTAATTGTCACATGTCCATACAAAGTAACAAGAATATGCCATCACAATGCAAGCTCTGCCCCTTTTGTATGTGCATAAGGAAGAATGCCTCTGGAGTGACATTTTTCACACTTCACAATGTTGGTTCCTCCAGAGAACATGGGATGATAACAGCTAAGCAGCTAGGTATGTTAGACTCTGAACTTGTACAGGAAACCACCATGGTTAGACTCAAGATAGAATTTCGGAACTTCTTTCTCTAGGAACCATTCCCCAATTTTTAAGATTGCTATGCCAATCTTCTAGAATTTGAAGGGCATAATAGATATTTGTGGTGATGTGGCTATGAAGTAGTGGAAGTTTGAATCAGGTGACAGACATAAACTACAGTTAGTCCTCAACTTACGACCATAGTTGAGCCCATAATTTATGTTGCTAAGTGAGAAACTTCTTAAGTGAGTTTTGCCCCATTTTATGACTTTTTTTCATTTTAAATTCATTTTATGAATTTAGTAATTTTTCCTTCATGTTGTAGAACAATCTTTGAATTTTAATTATGCTGCACTAAAGATAACATTGTGGGTATCTAAAAGAATTGAGGATACTCATTCCAAACAAGTTGAAGTTTAATGTTTACAACAGCTGTTGCCTGCTGTAGAAGGAAGGAAATCGGCAATATTGTTTGTCTGGTGGAATAGAAATTGATATAGTTCCAAGATCTGGATATTTCTAATTTCAGTCATTATTAGAGTTGTGTGAACCATTTGGAGAAGTGTTTCACAAACCTACTAAAGTAGTTTCCAGGGAGCCTAAGGAAGCGCATATCCCCTTAAAAAGCAAGACAGTTATTTTAAAGGCTTCCCAATATTGTCTGAAATTGTCACCAAAGCAAAACTGGCAATTAAATCTCCTTATCCGAACGGATGTGATGGCTCAGTGGCTAAGATGCTGAACTTGTCAATCGAAAGGTCGGCAGTTCCAGTGGCTAAGATGCTGAGCTTGTCAATTGAAAGGTTGGCAGTTCAAATCCCTAGTGCTGCGTAATGGGATGAGCTCCCATTACTTGTCCCAGCTTCTGCCAACCTAGCAGTTCAAAAGCACGTAAAAAATGCAAGTAGAAAAATAGGGACCACCTTTGGTGGAAAGGTAACAGCGTTCCATGCGCCCTTGGCATTTAGTCATACTGGCCACGTGACCACGAAGACGTCTTAGGACAGCGTTGGCTTTTCGGCTTTGAAACACTCCCTAGAGTCTGGAACGACTAGCACATATGTGCGAGGGGAACCTTTACCTTTACCTATCCGAATTACAAGGGAAAGGAAAAGGAGGTATGTGTCTTTGGAAGAGAAAAAGCAAAGCTAACAAAATACATCTCAGTTTTATGCCTCTTAATTTAGTCTGGGCCACTGTGTGGAAATTGAAAAGCATTTTCTCTGAAATTGAAATATTAAATGAGTTGTCATTAGCCACTTTGACCCTTTAAAGGTAGAATTCCATTCTATATGTAAAATTCTGAATCAATGTGGGATAATTATTATTACAGTGACACATTATGGTTGGAATCACATAGTATATTAAACCATGGTTTATTTTACTATTTATTAAATACTGTTGGCCAAGTTCATTTGATATCCTAAAATGATAAATCATAGTTAACAGACTGCAATCCTGTGACAAATTCCAAAACACTAAGCAAATCAAACAAAGCAGATTTTGTTTAACGAGATAAATGAACACTATCAGTCAAGATAGCAAGCTCCTCATTTGACAAAAGCTGATTGTATGACAGTAGGCCACGATCTACCAATTGATCCTACTTTTTACACCCACACACCCTACTGTATATACTGATATAGATATTATGGATATAGATTTATAACTCATGGATCAAGCAGATATAGTACGTTGAGGAATGTAACTGAAATCATCCATAAACCATTTGATCTTCCTGAGAATGCCCCAAAGTATTGTTCATCTAATATTTCTGAGTTACCTTTGCCCATCCTTAGCATTGTTATTCAGCTCTGAATGGAACTTTTGCTTAAGAAAGTATCCACAAGATTGCAGCTTTTATAGATTCTTTCAAAAGGAGATATAGATCTATCAACAGAATGAGACGACTTCCTCCCTCCCTTTCCCATACTAGTTGGTGTGTGGGTGTGTGATTGTGCCAGATCCCAGATTCCTTCTGTTCCGGTTTATTTGAAGCAGGGAGAAGGCAGGATCTGATGTGATTCCATGTGGCTGGCACTGGTGCAGTGGAATGCAGGAAAGGAGTTCAGTTCCATTCCTTTTGGAGGAGCCTTTATCTATTGCTTAATATAGTTTCTTTTAGTATAGGTAGCTTTATTCTTAGCAGGGTTCTTAGCAAGCTTAAGAACCTTTTTTTCATACTATTTCCATCATTAGTATTTATTTCCAGATGTTGTATGGTTTCAAGTAAAGAGGAAATATGAGAAAAACATATTACTTAGATCTAAATATTATTACGGTAATGTAAAGGCACATTACTGTGTATGCTACTAGTTACTAAAAAACATACAGTAGAACAGATTCCCATTCTCATTCAGGAAATGCTATAGATATAGATATCTGAGAAAAGAAGTGCTGTATATGATTTATTGCCTTGCTTCCTGCCAGGATTAAAATTGCACATTTTTTGTCATCATTAAACAAAAAACAAAAATAAAATCCTATATGCTCCAAATAGCATTTACTTCACTATGAAATAAATTCTGTTTGGAGCATACAGGTTTTTATTTTTGGTTTTTAAAGGGTAACAAAAGATGTGCAAGTTTAACATTGGTTGCTATTCAAAACTTATATAGGAACTGCTGCAGAAGCCATGTATGTTAAATCACATAGTAGTCCAATGATGACAATCTGAATGCCAAGACTCAGTACTGCTTAAGAAAGCACCAAAGTTACCAATGGTGCTTTATTGTAGAAGCATTATTTTTGTCAAAGTGATTAACCAGTGATTAACCAGTTACAAGGACCATAGCTTGACTTTTATCAATTATTAAATGGTTGACATGTCTTTTAAATCAGCTTCACCCAGGAAAAGGAAAGAAAACAGCTTCTAAGTGCTCTAAAATTCTTTAAATTGTAATTCTTAAAAAGCAACGCATTGTCCATGAGCAAGATGTCTTATGAATTGTGATGTTTTAATCTGTTTTACAAAACCACGGTACATATTCTATGATAGTTAATGAATACTTTAGAACAGGGGTCCCCAACCCGCAGTCCATGGACGAGCATTGGACCGTGGCATGTCAGTGTTGGAAGAAATATCCTTCTGGGTTCAGTTCCAAGTGGGGAAAAAGACACTGGAAACATGGAGACTGTTTGGAAAGATGTTTAATGATGGACAGGATCACGTGGCTTGAGTTCCTGAGCAGAAAAGGGCAGAGATGCTGAGAGTGCCTTGGTTTTATGTCCTCTCTGGGCCCCACCCCAGAGCCCCCTGTTCCTGTGTAAGAAATGCACTCTGATTGGTGATCAGACTCCCAGGGGGCGGAGGTCTTAGCTAACTTTGTAGGCTGTATCTCCCAGGCTTGGTTGAGCCTTGACTGGGTGATGCAATCTCCACAGGTACCATGTGGTGAGTTCTGTTGCTAGATGGGTAGAGGGCTAATCCTATCTTTGTTATGTAGAATGGACTGACTCAGGCCTTAATGGCTCATTAACAAAAGTGGGGAGGGAGTTTCCCTTTTTGGGGAAATATTCTACCCTTTTAATATTTCCTAAAATATTTCATTCTTCTAGGAGAGGAGTGGGTGCTACCTTCCTTCACCAGAAACTGGGCCATGCAAACAAGCGAAGCCCCAGCACATGAAACCACACCTCTTCCAGTTCACAGAGAAATATGTCTCCATGGAACCGGTCCCTGGCGCCCAAAAGGTTGGGGACTGCTGCTATATAACCTAGAAAAATACATAGCTTCAACCTAGATTAATCATTTTATTAGCAGATACTTGAATTGACATGTTTAAAACAAAAGGATAGCCTGGAGTTCATAGAATATTTATTCATAGAAGGTTATGAATCTTCTGGGCAACATCTTGCTACAGTGTAATAAAACCATTCTTGGAATTTCTTACTGGAAAAAATAAATGCATTAAGAAAAACAGTTTCCTGTTATATATACATATATTTGTATATATACAATTATCATGTATGAGTTCAGTGTTGGTAATAGAGTTGGGGAGGATTCACTATATCCTGATATTCATCATAGCTTTGCTCTGGCTTTGGCCATCTGGATCCAGAAAAAGGCAACATGAAATCAAGCCATTTTAACAATGGGGCTTTGAAGTGCAATAAATAAGTAAACAAAGAAATAGTAGCATTTACAATCCAATTAAACTTGCCCCTCTTTTCCATCATCATGGACAAACCATTTATTTAGAAGATGCCAAACTTTAGTGGATACTTTAGTCTCTTGCTAAAGAAGGTACATTTGTTAGATGTTACCTGCTCATTGTAAAATAGCATACAGCATTTTCCAATGTACTCTAATAATATGAATAATCAAATGCATCATTTCAGATTACCAAGTAATAATTGTCTAACAAGCAACACATTCATGAACCTAACAAAAATATCTTGGACATTACAGGGTTCAAAAAAGAAATACATTAGCCTTCTTGAGGGTGTGGAATTTTTTCTTTGGTTTTTGTGCTTTCAAGTCAATGTTGACTCCTAGCAACTGCCTGAACAAGTTCCTACAATTTTCTTGGCAAGGTTTCAGAAATGGTTTCCCATTGCATCCTTCCTAGGAGCAAGAGAGACTGGCTTAAGGTCACTCAGCTAGTTTCACACTTAGGTGGGACTAGAAGGCACGATTTCCCAGTTTCCACCTGGTGCCTTAATCACCACATTATAACTTTGGTTTGTTTTTTTTCCATATATTCTGCTTGCAATTGAATTAACGGTAAGCTAAAATTGTTGTCAGATTGAAGTTAGACTCCTAGTAACTACTTGGATACTGTACAATCATTGCCAACAGCAAGAAGTGTTTTGCAATTGAATTTTATGATTTCCTGGTCTAGCTTCCAGCCCTAGGATTCACTGATGGTCTCCCAAAGACTTACTTAACTTTCAAGTCCAGCTATCTATTGACAACATTGTAACTTGCCAGTTTCTATTTGCCAATTCAAAAAAGTACAAAAAGACTCAGCCTTTTCTAAGGCATTTTCTCTAAACATTAGCAATGAACACTTTACTAATGAAACTTTGAGTGCCAAAGATTATTGGGTGGTTAATGAATGTCATTTCCCCATTCCTCTTTAATTCCCTTTTGAATTCCAGTTGAAAATACAAGAAACCCCTCAACAATGCTGTTCTGTCAGATGATATTTTGGGATACTTATGGAAAATATTCTCTGAATATTTATTGAATATCACATTGCCAACTATTGACAACAGCTTTAGAAGTTTTGGTGGTGGTCTTCATCAGTTGTATTTAGAGATGCCATAGACTAAACTTACATCTTTCCACATGTGATGTAATGATGTTTACGTAATTCAAAGTATTTCTCTTGGATCTTGGCTATCTTAAATGTCTGTGCATAAATAATGCTAGCTGGCTGTTGAATTGCCATTTAATAAATGTGATAAACTTACCAATATATCTGATACTTATTTATTGTTTCTGAATTTTATTTTCAGGCCTCAATCTTGTAATGTTTAGAAAAATCAGCTTCTGAAATTTATTTTTATTTCTTGGAACATTGCAGTGAACTTTGACTGAGGGCACTTTATATTTATTGTGCTATGCAGCAGGTGCCATGCCTTTTTTGCTTTGCAACCATGCTGACTTTCACCTTGGCTATTGGGAAACATAGCTGTTCACTTCAACATAGCTGTAGATTCTTTTTTTCACTATGGAGCACTTGCCTTTTCCTCCTTTTCCTTCTTATTCATCCATTAACATTGTCTTCTTACTTATCTAGTAAACTGGAGGAACCCAAGCTTCAATATTTTATGTTCTACTTTTACATTTTATTTGTAGGAGGTTCTGTTTGAAGAAGCTGCAAATATGAGTCAAAATGGATATTAATATGTTCTGTTAAACGAATTCTTTCCGGTCAACCATGTTGAGCAACATATGTTGCAGAACACAAGGTTGCACGTTTTAAGAGAAGATTGTTTTCACTCCCTTCTGCTTAAAGATAGTCCTGGAAAAATGGTGTTTGTAGATATTCTGTCTCTGTGTTCCTTTTACATCTCTCTTCTGTAGACACATGGGGGTGGGTGGAGTGGGGGTTGCATTTAAAAATGGGAAGAAAGGTTGGGATAGGAAAATAGTATCTTGTTGGTCATAAATTGAAAGATTTAAAAATGGCCGGCATATTAGGGTGAGTCCAGTGGAGCAGCTCACTTCTCCAGTCATCCCATGCAAACAGAGTCTCATAACTTTTTTTAACACTCGTAGGTTATATTGGATCTGGAATTAAATGATGTGAGAATGTTTTTGCTCTACTGCCTTAGTCTGTTTAAAAGTATTCTAGTGACAGGCAAAGGATATTCATCTGAAGTGACCTATATAGTTTACTAATAAACCACAGTTGTCTCTATGTTATATAAGAACCAGTGGTGGGATTCAGCCAGTTCGCACCACTTCGGGAGAACCGGTTGTTAACTTTCTGAGCAGTTTGGTGAACTGGTTGTTGGAAGAAATAATTAGGACAGAGAACCGGTTGTTAAATTATTTAAATCCCACCACTGATAAGAACGTCTTAATTTGCCAGGAGAGGTACAGTGCAGTGGTGAAATGCAGTTGGTTTTATCCAACTTGGGCGAACTGGTAGTGCCTGCAGTGGGAGGCTCCACCACCAGCCCAGACGTCATCACATCCTGTTTTTGATACTCTGCACATGCGCAGAAGGTACTGTGCATGTGCAGAGGTCTCGTGCATGCGTTCCCATTTGCGAACCGGTAGCAAAAGTAAGTGGATTTCACCCCTGGTACAGTGGTAGTTAGAGAAATTTTCTATTGTAGCAAACTATATAATTATTTGGAAATATGTCCTCTCAAAAATAACTCTTATTAAGGCAAATTATTACTAAGTTTTTTTGGGTTTTTTTGGCTTCCAAGAATAGCAGGGGTCTGAACTGGCAAGTTCAAAACTCGTGGGAGAAAGCAAGGGCAAATCTCAGATATAAGTGTTTCTTTCTAGCCAGAACTATTTTAGTTCTATGACTGTGCTTTATATATATATAAATATATATAAAATATAAATATATTTATATAATATATAACTTTGGAAAAAGTGCAGAGAAGACCAATTAAGATGATTAAAGGCCTGGAGACTAAAACGGATGAAGAAAGTTGCAGGAATTGACTATGGCTACTAGTCTAGAGAAAAGAAGGAGTAGGGATGACAGGATAGCAGTATTCCAATATTTGAGGGGCTGCCAAACAAGAAAGGGTCAACTTATTTTCCAAAGCACAAGTAGGCAAGATAAGAAACAATGGATGAAAACTAATCAAGGAGAGAAACATTAGAAACTTCCTAACAGTGGGAGTCGAAAGCATGTAAAAATGCAAGTAAAAAAATAGGGACCACTTTGATGGGAAGGTAACAGCGTACTGTGTGCCTTTGGCGTTTAGTCATGCCGGCCACATGACCATGGAGATGTCTTTGGACAGCTTTGGCTCTTTGGCCTTGAAATGGAGATGAGCATCGCCCCCTAGAGTCGGGAACGACTAGCATATATGTGCAAGGGGAACCTTTACCTTTACCTTTACCTTTACCAGTGGGAACAATTAACCAGTGGAACAGCTTGCCTTCAGAAGTCGTGGGTGCTTCATCACTGGAGGTTTTTAAGAAAAGATTGGACAGCCACTTGTCTGAAATGGTATAGGGTCTCCTGCTTGAGCAGGGGGTTGGACTAGAAGACCTCCAAGGTCCCTTCCAACTCTATTCTGATTACTATTGCTAATTCTCTCTCCCAAACATCAGTGATTCTACATATTTGAATTTATGTTGTATGCAGCTTTCAAGAAGCACATTATTCCTTCTAAACTAATTCAGATTTAGCCTTCACTCAAATGTATCCTCATGAGAAAAATTCTAACTGCGACTGGACATTTCCCTGGCCAAGTTCTATTTATGAATTTGTAATTGTCACAGGAACTCTTGACACAGTGTAATGCTATTCTACCCAGCCAAACAAAGAGATTACAGAAGCAAGGGGAGAAGAAATTCAATGGAAAGCTTTTTCTCAACAAGAAATATTGTTAACTATTCAAATGGTAATAGATTGTTGGTGTTCAACTGAAAAAAAAGTGGTCAATTGTTTTTATCTTTGTGGCTTCCTGCAGTTCACAGATGTTTCCTGTAAATTGTTTGAGAGAAGCTGTGCAAGGCAGTCTCGCATTTGCTTTGTTTGTTGCCAGAGCAAATTTTGTCTCTCACAACACTGTGCTTTTCTTTCAGGTAGAAAATCACCATCAATTTATGCCCATGTTAAAATAGTAGTTTTCATTTTCCTAGTTTGGTTATTGCATCTCGTTTCTACAAGAATTGCAAGCAGATAATGCTACACAATTCTTAGAAAGAAAATTTGATATATTAATTCTTAAAATCTCATGATTAATATTAATATAATAGTGAAAGAAAACTGTCTCTAAAAAAGAGCTGCCATATTGAATTTCATTCATCTCAGGCAAATGAATTCATGGAATATTCTTGAATAGGGATTGATTATGTTCTTATTAAGCCCGTAATTGTCCTTCGGCAAGAAGAAGCTTGCTTACCTGCACCCTCAGTCATTCTAAGAAGGCATTGATTCCTGTCACATATTGCCTTTCTATTCACTGAATCAAGATCGATTTTAACCTAAACATTGTCAATTTACAGATAATAAAGAATACAAACCTTTAGATAACAACTA